AATCATCCAATCACGAGAGTGGGACATTACAGAGTTAAAGGTGCAGTAGGAGATCTTGGAAAATGCTAACTTTAGCCTGATATCACTGAAAGCGAACGTCCCACCCTCCCTGCAATCGCCGTCCAAAACCACGCCCCCTGAACGCATTTATGCTCACAGACCAGAGACAACATTACAGGGGCTCCCAATTCCAGCCCATGTTCCGAAGTGAAGTAAACTTCAACGGATTTCCCCCGCTCAGGGAGTAGGGAGCAATGAACACTATGTAGGGATCATATCGATCGGAACACAGTTCATGTAGGTAGCTCACTTCTAACGAGCTGGCGCGAGGACTGGATTAACCGCTGGACGCTCGGACCGTTCAAATACATTTAGACCACTTAGCTTAATGATTGCTATCGGGATGTGAAGAGACTTTCAACCAGCATAACAAAAAATGTTTCTGAAGACAATCACCTATTGCACCTTTAAGAGACCGCATGAACCTGGTAAGAGCTCTGAAGAACATTAAGACGTTTAAAATGTGGTCAAATAAGTTTGATGCTCTAATAATTATTGTTTATTATGGTCATTCATAGGTGGAGGATGAGGTCTTTGTTGATCCTGCCAAGAGATTGCTGTGCGAAATATCAGAGAGTTTGAAGAGGAAAAAGTAAAGAGGCAAAATGAGATTGCCAAAAAACGGTAAACCTCTTAAGGACAGTATACAAGTTACCAACTACTAAGCGGACTGCCATGATCGAGCTAGTGTTATACTGCAATTCTAGACTGGAGTTTGAGACACAGAAGACCCATCTGGCCATCAGCGTGATTGCGAGAAGAACCAGTAGAAGGAAGACCAGGAGAAAGTGATGATGTGGGAGCAGTCTGTAAAAAAGGATGAGAATGAGATCGAAAGACTTAAAAAGGTGACAAAGAATAGGATGAGTAAAAGGTCCTGACAAGCAAAGCATATATCAGTGGAATCTTTAAGCATGAAAAACTAAACAGTAACTCATATTGTCCCCCACCATCTCAGGAGGAACACAGGCACATGAAGATCATTGATGAGACAATGGCACAGCTACAGGACCTGAAGAACCAGCACCTCACGAAGAAGAAGGTAAATGACAAGAACCGAGAGATGGAGGAGATCTGCAAGAAACTAGGATCTGCCAACGAATAAGAACATTAATATTTAATTCTCTCAATTCTTTACATGTTCTCAAATCCAGTGTAGGATATAAATTAAATTAAATTAAAAGTGGTACATACAGAATTACATACACTTTCTGAACATATATTCCTACACAATCACATACTGCTTTTGTAAGCACAGACATACACACTGATCTGTCTACATAGGGAAGTTCGCAAGTTGAGGATTCAATCAGCAGTCCAAAGGCATCAAGCTCTGTGCATGCCAAAGAGGCCCTCATAGAGATTGACTACAGCAACTTGAATGAGGACCTCGAGGTAATTTTATATGATGAAATATTATAAATTTGTTGTTTAACAAGCAAACTGGATCTATCAAAAGTGATGTAAAACCTTTCTATAGGATGCTTTGTCAGAAGAAGAGATCAAGGCAGAGATGAACACCCTACAGCAGAGGCTGAACGAGCAGCAGAGCATCCTGCAGAGAATCAGCGCTCCCAACATGAAGGCCATGGAGAAACTCGAGAGTGTCAGAGACAAGTTCCAGGAGACCAGTGATGGTGAGCCCAAAAGTCCAGGCTCATCTGACTGTAGCTAATCTTGACCTGAGTAGTCTACCTGGGACACATTGAGTCTAAATAAGTGGTTCACAGCCCTTTTGACTCCATGGCCCCCCACTGACCAAAACATTAATCAAAGGTCCCCACGTAAAATATTTTTGATACTTCTGTTAGGTGCTTTAATGACAACATTTTTATTTACAGAAACTTGGAGTGACAATGTATTACAATAATTATAATACATTTTCATTAAAATTTATAAATGAATACATTTGTAAATTATAATAAAAATTAAATAATCTCCGTAATTCAAAACGTTAAAAAAGTAATGTTTTTCAGTGTTCACACTTTTTATGATTTGGTTATGATTACAGGTTTCTGTGGTTTTACTCATTTTTTACTACGCTTTTACCTTTTTAAGATTTTATTAATTTTCATGACTTTTTCCAGGTTTTGAAATCACATTTCTTTATACATGCATGTTTTCCAAGACCGTTGGAATCTTTTAGGTAGTGTGGGAGATGGAGATGGGATCCATTTGCGTCTTTATTAAAATCAACAGCAAAAATACAAACAGCAATATCAGTGGCCAAGGCAAAACAGAGTCGTAGTTGAAAAACAGGCAGCAAACAATCACAAATAAGGTCCAGGCAAACGAGGCAGAAACAATAGGCAGGCAGCAAAGGATCAAAAAATGTAAACAATCCAGGGTCATACACAGGCAGGCAACAGAAACAATCAAATGCTCAGAAATGGGGATTATGGAAGATGGAGTCAGGGGTGATAAAGTCAATACTCAGGTCAGGGAGCCCTCTGGTGGTGAGTGGGAAGAACCACAGAGGCTAGACTCCTGACAAAGAGCAAATTCAAACAAGAAATATGATGTCCGCTTCTTTTTCTTTCTTTTTCTTTTTTAAACCATCTTGTGGCCCACTTGGAAGTATGCTGATGCCCCTTAGGTTGAGAACCACTAGCCTAAATAATAACCAATAACTACAATATCTACTTTTTTTCTTATGTATTCATGGAATTCCGCTGACACATTTCTATTAACAAATACATATGTTGATGTGCCTTGCAGAGTTTGAAGCTAGCTCGGAAGAGAGCAAAGAAAGCCAAACAGGCGTTTGAGCAGATCAAGAAGGAGCGGTTTGACCGTTTCAATGCTTGTTTCGAGTCTGTTGCCACCAACATTGATGAGATCTACAAGTCACGAAACAGCAGTGCACAGGTTAATAAAAACACTCTGAAATCACTCTCTCTTTTCAAGAGAAAATCCTTCAATAACACAAGTAGAATTTTTACAATACTTTATATCCTTTCAGGCATTCCTGGGGCCAGAAGAACCATACTTAGATGGAATCAACTACAACTGTGTGGCTCCAGGAAAGAGATTTAGGCCCATGGACAACCTGTCTGGAGGAGAGAAAACTGTGGCAGCTTTCTTTTTGCCATTCACAGGTGCAACAAAGATCTGCAAAAAACTTTACAAGTAAACTTGTACGTTTGCCCTCTAATGAAAAAATTTTACATCTCTGTCTGTTCCCTTATAGCTACAAGCCTGCACCTTTCTTTGTCCTGGATGAGATTGATGCTGCATTGGACAACACCAACATAGGCAAGGTGTGTGTGAGCTTGTAGGAAGGCCTCTTCCAAATGTACACGTGTGCTTACAACTGAACTGAATGGCATCGATATGAAATATGTATTTGACTTTAACTTTGCATGTGGCCAACTACGTAAAGGACCAGTCAGTCCAGAATTTCCAAGCATTTGTTATCTCTCTGAAAGAGGAGTTCTACACAAAAGCTGGCTCACTCATAGGAGTTTACCCTGAGGTTTGTATTTCAGCAATGGGTAAATCTTAACATAACAAAAGTAGTTGACACATGCAAGAGTTCAACCCATCCCAACATATCATTATATCATTATTATTGTACACTGTGCTCTAGAGATGGCAACTTTAATAACAATTTATTTTGTATTATGTTGACTTTTAAAATATATATAATAATAAATTGAATCTTTTCATTTATTCACAGCAAGGAGATTGTGTCATCAGTAAGGTGCTGACCTTTGATCTTTCCCAGTATCCAGATGCCAATCCCAATCCTAATGATTAGGTTGTGTTGATCTGAATTCATTGGTAGACAGCTAAAAGTATGATCAGTAGCATCTTTTAAAACCTGATTATAATCATTGATGTTTACATAGATTTTTTAAATTTAAATGAATAATGTTTCTAATATGTCTACTGTTGTATTTCAAATAGTGTGCATGATTGTATAAGTATTAATATTCTGTGTTCTGTGAATATTAAATACAAATGAACAGATTTTCACGTTTAGTCAGCTGGACAGTCTAGATCAGTCATTTTACGTATGGCTAATGTTTTGTCTGCGCTTTATCAAAAGCTGCCTATTGTCAAGTGTGCCTTGTGGATGATTCGTTCATTCAGTACAATGTGGAATAATCAGTATATATATTTTTTTGTTTTAATTTTCTGTCTTCATGGGAAAATGTGTTATGTAAACTGTATTCAAACGGAAAATAAGAGCTTGTGTGATGTGCTCAAGGCACTTTCACAAACATGGTATACTTTTGTTTTCCCCCCCAAAAAATATACCCCATAGAGAATAAAAAAATAAGCCATCTCAAAATAAAACGTAGTTTGGTTTCCTGAGGTTGATAATCAACATTTTCCAAACATCATCTTTCCCCCCATAGAACTCTATTTCCTCCACGTAAGAAAAAAATCATGCTTTGGAAAATAAAAATAAAAATATGACAAAATTTGACATGTCATAATTTCGACTTTTTATGTAAATGTCAACTTCTTATCTCATATTTATGACTTAGTAACTTCAATATCAATGTCATAATTTTGACGTTTAATCTCATAATGTTGATTTTTATGTCAAAATTATGATTTACCTTAGCATGTTTTTTTTTATTATGTGGAAAAATACATTTAAAAAAGAAAAGTAAAATAGCTGGAAGCTTCTATTTTTAAGTTTCAGTTTAACAGTTGTTGTACCCTATTAATGGAAAATGCCACAACATTTTAAATGTTAAATGGAACAAAAAATAAATAAATAATAAAAAATGAACTTAAGGTAACATATAAACAAACCAGAGCACACCTGGTTAATTATATTATATATATCAACTTTACAAAAAAAGAAGCCCAAAGTTGCGTATAATACGCGGACTTGGCAACTCTGGTTCCCACTCACCCACACCCATTAAGCTAACATTAGACCTCTATTTTCACGTGGGCTCATCCTCAGCGGCACAAAACCAAGCATGCTTGCACAGACATGCCCCTTCCTCGCGTCTGTTGATGACGCCAACCAGCTCCCATTGGTCGCCTCTTGTTTCTTGGGTTCGGTTGCGGTGCAGAGAACGCCCAACGTGTCAATCGGCGCTCAAGATATCCAGTAACTCCTTGCAGTGGACTGGTTTGATCAGACTACTATAACCCACCGCTGCTTACATTTAAATCCCCGGCAATGGACAGCATTAAAGACGGGTGGTTCACCGAAACATGCACATTATGGCCTGGTCAAGCGATGAGTCTTCAAGTGGAGGAGGTGTTGTATCATAAAAAATCGAAGTTCCAGGATGTAATGGTTTTTAAAAGGTGAGTCGTGGTGCAAAGTTGCTTAAATTAGCATGTTCTCTAACTTGCCGTGTTTTCTGGCAGCGCGTAATTTAAGCTATCGGTCACAACCGATGGAGACGGCTGTGATTTCCTCACTTTTCTCTGAGGTGTCCACTCAGAAAGCACGTTGGCTTATGGGTGTCTTGCTGTGTGGTTGGCTGCGGCTAGAATGCTAACTGCATCGCCTGTTTTAGGTCTGGCGTGGCACTGAACTGTGAGATCGCATTGATTTTGTACTAGCCATTTGTATTATACGTAAAACATTACACTGCACCGATTCTGACATGTATAAACATAAAAAAAATAGAAACAATTTCTGTAATATTTGCACCCATAATTATGTGGTACATTAGAAAATGAAAACAACATTTATTTGACAACGTGTCCAAGGCGTTATCAGCTATTATATTGGGGTCATATGATGCGATTTCAATTTTTCCTTTCTCTTTGAAGTGTTACAAGCTCTTGGTGCATAAAGAAGATCTGTAAAGTTGCAAAGACTAAAGTCTCAAATCCAAAGAGATATACTTTATAAAAGCTAAGAGTCAACCACGCCTACCTAAAATGGCTTGTTCCAAGACGCCCCCACATGTCTATGTCACAATGTAGGAAGATTTGCATATCACCTCCCAAATGTTCACGCCAAGAAAGAAGGCGTAACTTTTATTCTCACTGTAGTATTGTTGTTGCCGCCGCCGCCATGTCGTGAAGGCGCTGTGTGTTTCGTTGTGAAAGCGAAACTACTTCCAAAAGAGGACGATATCCGCTTCGTCATGCCTGGAGCTGATCCGTGCTGGTCGCTGAGGAAATACATCAGCTTCGCGCTGTGGATCGCCGGATCGGCTTTCACCGTGGACAAAGCGGAGTCCAGCCCGGGGTCGTCACATGTGGTTGCCGCAAGCCCGCCGGCAGCTCCTTCGTCGAATCCACCGGCCTCGCCGTTCTCAAGCCTCTACTCACTGTAGGCCGCCACCGCTCACTCTAGGCCGCCGTGTGTGACGC